TAAATTATTTAACAAATGATATAATTTTCCGTATCCAATTTCAGGTAAAATATTATAAATTCGAGAGAGACGCTAAAATGGTGGTTCCCACCTTATCGAGACTGAGGCCCTCAAGGGTAAACTCATAGCGTAACAAAAACGAGAAATAATTTAACTTGGAACGAAAGACAGAAAGCCTATAGTAGTATTAGGACGTTGAATTTTTTGGTTTGTGAAGCATTGGCATTACTTAGGTTAAACCGTGTGACGACTTTCATAAGCCTTTATTTTTAAAACCATTCTATATCGCTTTTTGATATGGATTTAAAAACTTGTTCGAGCAATTTATCCAATAATAATTGGCCCCTTTACCTCTTAAGCCTGCTCATGTAAAATATTTGGGCTCCTTACTTCGCCTATTTATATTCTATTAATAAAGGACAGAAGGATGGGTATTGCAACTATGTTAAAAGAAATAAATTGTCTTTCAGTTCAGAATTATGTTCATACATGACTGATATTTATTTATAAAATAAAAATGACATAGTACCATCGCATCAGATCTATTAGAAAAAATTGAATATAACTCGCAATATCACAACTATAATACAAGAAGCCAATCTGACTTTCATGTACGGCAAGCTATCATTAAAGGTTCCCAAAATACAATTTTTATTAAAGGTTTAAAAAAATTTAATAGACTGCCTACAGAAATTAAAAAAAAAAACAACAATAAATGTATTCAAAACTAAAATCAAACAATACTTGATAAATAAACAGAACGGATATACTTTATTGTGATAATACTCATTAAACCTGCCCTTTTTAAGTATTTCCCTTCATTTATTGTTATTTTACTCCTCGTTTTACCCGCATTTATTAAAAATTATTTCTATTTTGAGATCATGTACTTTATTTAAAAAAAATACTTGATGTTATATTAATACTACTTATTATGTTTAAATTATTAATAGTTTTGCGACGATAGGTTATAGCAACTTATAGCCACAAAACTATTTTTGTATTAAAGTAGATCCATAGAGAGCAAAGGCCTTCTTTCAACATACAAATAAATGACAACTTTATTATTAAAATGAAAAACACAACAAAATACCTCGATATCATAATTGATCAAAATTTGAAATGGGTTGGTCACATTACGTCATTAAAATCCCAAGGTAACCAGATTCATTTTTAAATTTTATGAATTGAGTAAATTTATGACTAGTTTACTAATTATTATTTACAATTCGCTGGTTGAATATGTAATCCAAAATCGTATAATTAAAATTATCTACAAAAACCAGCATTATATCCTACCTCTCTTTTATATATTACAAAAGTGCTTTGTATTAGAACATTGCTGTACCTTAATTTATGGAAAGCCTGAATTGAGATACACTACAAATTATTTGCAATAAATATCAAAAGAAGCATATATTTTCAAATAATTTGACATTTAAGAACCATTCACACATCACAGTTACATCTTGATACTTGACCGGTTCATTATTCTATGGGGTTGCGACAGAGAGCCAGTAAATTTGATAAAGGTGTTTTTGTGGCTAGGGGCGAAATAGTAGTACGCTTAAGTTAGCACCACCATAATAAAGTAATTTTTAAGAAACTGCTTATATATTTTTCATAAATTGGCAGGCTTGGCGACTAATTTCGAATAAAAATAGCCTTCAAAATGGCTATGGTTGTAAGTATAAAGGTCGCAACCCGCCTTAGAAATTTCACCTTTACTATTAACAGCTGTTGTTTGACAGGTCGTTAGAGAATGTTTGCAATTTATGGACTGTTAAGAATGTTAGGAATGTTGACGTTGGAAATAATTGGAATTCCTAAAATTTTCACATAAGAAATGTATAGGCGAATTTTAAGAAAATTGATAATAACGTATTTAGGATAAACCGAAAATTCTGAAAATCAATAGGGTTCTAAGTTAGAAGTAATTATTCAAGAGTTATCGTGCCGGCATACATACACACAGATGACAAAAAGAATTTTTTTTTTGCATTTTTGGACTCAGAATGATCGAAAACATAAAAAGAGTTTTAAAAAATAGGGGTAAGAAAATTTTTTTGTCTGCACGAATGCAATACTGTGGCCCCATAAGAAGGGCCTCAGTAAAAGTAAGTATTCTAGTGATAAACTTACTATCTATAGGTAATAGGATGAAACTGAATAGAACCCATATATAACCTATAAAATTGCAACTTTTAATTTAATTTTTTTCGATTAATAGCCAGTTATGTGCATTTTTTTAGAAACTCTATTTGGAATATATTTTGTTTAATAGTAGCAACATTTTTTTCAAATTTCCGGCGTACTTATAGTGGAATGGAGCCGTCATTGTTAATTTCTTTAAAATATTCTGATTTTTCTTTTTAATTTGGTGTCATCGGCATCGACTACCAAGGCCATTAGCCTCGTGTTCTGTATAGGCTTTGTTACTGTTTCCCAGCGCCACTTTAGGAACAGCACTGTTAATTAGAACCCAACAGTGAATGGTCAAGTGGGCTGATTTTTTTAATTTAAATTACGTTATATAAACTTTAAATCTAACGAATTTTTCTCATACTGACATATTTTGGGTGACTAGACTAGAGTGACACCGGTGACACGTATCACCTGTTGACACTAATATGACAGATGTCACAAGAAAAAGGTACGTTCTCTTGCCATTATGAGTTAAGTTACTCCAGGTGTGGTTCAAGTGAGAGTAGGGAGGGTTAAAAGTTAGAAGTTTGGTGTATGAAGGGTCGAAAAGTTATTTAGTTATATAAAAGTGTGAATTTTAATGTTTACTTATATGAAAATTGTGAATTTATTTATCGTGAAACCGCAAATCGAAATCCGAAAGGTCAGAGAAATATCTGAAATAAGTAGTTGAATGATTTGAGAATTCGGATACAAATTTCCCTGCGAATTATTAATACCATCCCCTAATTCCAAAGGTAAAAACAAATACTTGGAGATTTAAAAAAAGCCTGTCGCAGCCGAGGATCAAATCTGAACATCCATGTTTGCTATACATGTGCCCTTTTCTCTAGACCATCTACGACAATGACTGTCGAGATTTCTAGACAAAAATTTGATGTGCTAGTTCTGGCCAGACGGCGTTTAGGCTCGTTCTCAAATATTCAAATGCCTCTCTACGGCATTGGAATATACAGGGTGTTAGTATATTCGACCGACAATGCTCTACCCCAGAGAGCTCTCGTTAATCGATGAATTTTAATACAGGAACATGGACCATTAAAGGTCTTAGTTACCGAGATTCAAGGTGTTAAAACTTTGAAATCAAAATTTCGAATTTGCCCTAAATCAACAACGCCTTTAAATATTAATTTTAAATTTGGTGACCATATGCTCTATAATAAAGTAATATGTTGACATAAACTTACTTTTAAAAATGTTTACCAGTGACGCGCTGCTAAGGTTAATGGTAATTTTTTCCTCTGTTTTACGCCGCTCGAAAAGATATTTATTATTTTTTAAATTCTCTATTCACTTTTAGTAAATAAAAAGTTAACTTTTTATGTAGCTAAAATGAACAGTGTCGCAGAAATTTGCTTCTAAACAAAAGTCTATATATTCTTAATCTCTAAGGACTCATTTTTTTTGTGTGTCATCGGCTTCAACTACTAAGGTTATATCGCCTCGTGTTCTGTGTAGGCTTTGTCACTGTTTCCCAGCGCCACTTAATTAACAGCACTGTTAATTAGAACCGAACAGTGAATGGTCGAGTGTGGAATCTTACCAAGGCATCAGAATTAATTTTAAATAATTAAATTAAATAAAAAATCCAGAAAAAATTCTAACCTAGTAAGCACGTGTCAAATTTTTTAGATTGTGTTTTTGGCAAGATCTTGGTAGATCAAATTTAAAAAAAATATTTAGGCGTTTTTGTTTTATGGTAAATTTTGAATATTGATTTAACATGTTTAACACCCTGTATCTAAGACCTTTAGGATTTCATATTCCTATATTAAATTTCATTTTTTAACGAGAGTTTTATGTGCATTGTCGGTTAAATATACTAACACTATGTAAATGAGAAATGCATGTATGCAAACTAAGCCCATATCTTCGTCTGCGTGGGTTAGGTTTTCAATGTACGTTAAAAGACGTAAACCTGGGTGTGAAAATGGTGAATTTATTTATCGTAAAATCGCAAATCGTAATCCGAAAAGTCAGAGACATATCTGAAACAAGTGGCTGAATAATTTTAAATTCTGAAACAATTCTCAAAAATCCCCCTACGAATTATTAAGGCTATCCCCAAACCCTAAAGGTGAAAACAAATACTTGGAGATTTGAAAAAAAGCATGTCTGAAAATCAGTCAGGTTACAAGGCTTCGGTGCTCTCAAGTTTGATGAGCTCTGGTTCGTAGGTCAACAAAAGTATTTTTTATAAAACAAATAATTTATTTTTGTTTAATTTAAAAATAAGAAAATGTTTATTAATTCGGTTGATTCTTCGTTCGTCTTGGCCTCTAGTTGATGGGTGACGGCTGGGATTAACCGACTAGTGGTTAACCATCGAAGACGTGGAATGAATGGCGATGAGTGGTGAATGATTAAGCGAATGAGTGCAAATAATGGGAAAGTAGGACTTTCAAATAGTGGTACAATAAGCTGCAGGCTGCAGGTCTGCCAGCCGCCGTTATAAACAAATTAGGGTGATACCATAGATGATGGGAAGGAAGGAAGGAGGAAACAAAGAAACAAACATTGCATGGATGACGCATTCGGTATTTAAATTACTTGCATACGTATTTACAAATTTTATTTCCACTGATTCATAAACATAGAGAGCATTACAAAAAATCTGTATTTGCTAAAATATTTGAGATTTGTCGTTGATTAAAAATAACAAATTTCAAACTGTGTTACAAATTAAAATTAAAGTATTTTGAGTCATTGGTAATATTCTACATTCTGAATTTATGAAATTTTTTTAGCTGGCACAATTTAGTTCCATGACTGAATCAAACTATAAATTTGAAGAAACGAGGTTGATCTCCTCAGTTTCGAGTTAAGATTCATAAAGAAAATTTATAATGTCATCGATAATTGTTAAATTGTTTTCAGTCATTTTTGTGTTAATGATTTTTCCGAAATGGTCTGAAAGTGTAAATGTATATTCTTTAGAAACGAGATATATTGAAGTACCAATTGATCACTTCTCGGCAACGGCAACATCTAAAACTTTTAATTTAAGATATTTAATTAATTCAAAGAACTATGTTAAAGGAGGTCCGATTTTCATTTATACAGGGGGTGAACGAGAAATCACAATTGCTGCTCAAAATACGGGTTTCTTGTTTGAAATTTCACCCATTTTTAATGCTTTGATAATTTTCGTTGAACATCGATACTATGGGACGTCACTGCCATTTGGTGAGTAAAATAAATTTGATTATCTAAACCTAACCCTTTTCAATTATGAATTAAGGTGAAGTGGGGTAATTGTTATATTCTTTTTTACTAGGTTTAACAAATTAAATATTGAAAAAAAGTTATACACATTTTTATCAAGTTTAATAGCCGACATTATATTTTAAATCTATTTATCAGCCTATTTTTTTTTTTTTTGTTAGACATACCTATTTGTTTAAAACATTTTCCTTATATCCCATTTGTCCCATAGTTTGGGTCAAATGTGATAATAAACCATATTTTCTAATAAATTATTGAGGCAAATATATAAAATATGGACAAATCTGCGTATTTTTAACCGACTTCAAAAAAGGAGGAGGTTTTCAATTCGTCGCAATATTTTTTCTTTATTTTTTTTTAATGTATTTTCAGCGATAATTCTTTAACATGGTGTCGGATTTCAATAATTCTTCTTTTGTTAGAAAGGGGATACTTCAGGAGTGATCCCATATAAATTTGGTCAAAATCTAATAATGGGTTCATGAGAAAATCCTGAAACTCTTCATTTTTTATGTGTGTTTAGCGATAATGCTTTACCACCTTGTCCAATTTATATGATTCTTTTTTTGTTAGTAAGGAGGTACCCCAGGGGTGGTCCCATATAAATTTGGTTAAGATGTAGTGATGGCATCTGCACGTTTTTGAAGTCTGTTTTTTTTAATTTTTAATTTCTAATACTTGTGTTTTTTTATTTTTCAAAATCTCTCAAACATTACAAAAGATATTAGCTTTTTAAACCTAAAAGCAAAATAAGCAAATTTCTTAATAAACAACGTATTAGAAAATGTTTTAAAAAATGTAAGAATATTTGTTACAGAGGACATAACTATAAATTATAACCCCAAAGTGAACCAAAAAGTCCAGTAAGCCCCTTCGGTCATGGGTTGGTTGTGGCAAAACTATGATAGTATAATTTTCATCTATTGCGTCAGTATCTTTGATTTTTGCTCAAATAAGTTAATTTTTTTATGGCCTTGTAAATTTAACGATTCACCCTCCATCGTTTTGCTATATCACGTTAACCAAAAAATTGTTTGATTACCTTTCTTGTAGAATATTTTACAAGGAGCCAACATTCCGGAGCGACAATATTTTGGAGCTTTTGCACGTCTAGGCTATCTTTATCAATATTATTATTATAATTATTATTATTATTATTTAACACATCCAGCTATGAACTCCTCAGAATTATCAGTTAATACTGGAGATTTTTTATGAACGCTTTCACTGCTGCTGCCGCTACTGCTTGAAGGTAATCGACCTTTTTTTAGGGTTTCTCTTAATTGGTTTTAGTTTTTGTTTAAGTATATCTATAGCTTGTGTAGATGTTAAAATTTCTGTGCTGGGACATATTTTCGTTTTCTTTTGTGGTATTGGCTTTGTCGTTTGTTTGACTGCCGACAATAAAAAGTCTTCAAATAACACACTGATGTTACCAGATTGACAACTACTTGAGGGCCCTTCCACTTTTGTATAAGAACTGGGGGAAACTTTCTTCCGAAATAATATTTTTATAAAACGGGAATATTCCTCCCTTTCTAAATCCCTTCGAGATGACATCAGGAGACATACTATTCCATGTATCGCACAAGAATTGTGAAAATACCTTTTTTCTGGTAATTTTTGACCCTTATGATTGCGTTGCCAAGCGAACAGTTTTTCATTTCATTTTCATTTAAACGATTTATATACTGCCAGATCTAAGGGTTGCAGCAAGTGGCTGCAGTGTAGAGGAAGATTTAAAAGTGTTATTTGTTCTCTGTCAGCAGCCTCTAAAGTTTCAACGGTAACGTAGGTTGAGTGACCATCATATATGATAAATACAGGTCTCTGTACCAACGGTAAGAATTACAGTTTTCAGAGTGTAATTTTTAAATATATCCCCTTCTATCCAACCTTTTTACTAGCTGAGTATACAGTCCTTTAAATTCGTGTTCTGGAGTGGCAAGCCATTGGTCCCATACATTCTTTCCTTTGTATATAATTAGTGGTGGAGCTTTGTCCACTGCTGTATTGTACATAAGTCAAATGGTAGTTTTAAAAAAATCTAAATATTTGTAGATTATGAACGAATCCATTGCCTCTTTCCTGGCATATTCCACATTTGGAGTGCAATGTCACGTAAGGAATAAGTTCTGTAATATGTTGTTCTTTTGGCTTCATTAATAGCCAGTTTTAGATCTGCCTTTGTTTATTTTGTATTATCCGAGGTCTTAATGAAATTATTTATATTTAAGGCCGATCTTTTTACCTCTGAGTAAAGTTACATGTAGGTTTACTTGACAGATTAACAAACAATAGCCCTATAGTTGATTCAGAATGTAGTTATCTTTAACTTTACTTAGAGGTGAAAAGACTGACTCTTAGTGGGCAACAGAAAAAAATATACTGTGCAACTCGAGTAGATAATCCATATCGGAATTGGATGATTGAGCACTCCAGCTATAACGTCGTGCTCAAACTTTGTCTTTGTGCGATATGGTCATCATATCCACTCTTCTTTTACAAACTACTACTTTAAATTATATTGAATTATACTGTAGTGATCTATAAAATTGTTTCTAAGTTTTAAAATTGCAATTAGACCTTTTACTTTGAAACCATCGGTGAAATGAGCTCTCTACTGTACATCTAACTTCCATCGGCCGACCTACTGAACACTCCTGTGTGTATTTCGCCACTAAATCCCGACACCAATCGTCTTTTGGCCTTGTTATCCATATTCTTATGAACCAGGGAACCTGTCTAAGGTCCGAATTTATAAACAAAACTCAGCCGAGTCAGACTTGGGTAAGTCGTCCTTGAACGAAAATCGAAGTTCGGTTATATCACGTGAATTTAGAGATGGGTAGTAACAAATCCGTAAATGTACATAACAGTTTCAGATTTGCTAATATCCATCTCTAAATTCTAGTCTAACACCAGAACCACCTAGAACGTTGTAACCGAACTTCGATTTTAGCTCAAGGACGACTTACCCAAGTCCGACTCAGGTAAGTTCTGTTTATAAATACGGACCTAAGAGATCACATTATATGTCATTCAGGTTTCAATCATGGCAGAAGACCGCCACAATTCTGACATCGGTGAAATTATTTGTAAATAATATAGAGTTAAATATCTTAAATGTTAAATGCATTAATTATGACAATAATTGTTACGATACCAATGGTGCTAAACATTTGTCGTTCCCAGTTAGCCATAAAAAACTTGACAAATTCTTGTGATAAAATTCAATACATAGTTTTACCTATGACGATGATGTAAATGCGATGCGATCGATAATTTACCAACTAGTGCAGTAAAGAAAACTGATATATTTAAATAATATAAAGTGAAACAAAAAGATTTAGTAATTTTATTATTCAAGGAAGAGAAAATATTTGACTATTGAATGACAGTTGAAATTAAGCATATATTATCACTAGTAATACCACTAGAGGTCAAATTATTTCCGGAAATTTTTTCGAGCTCATGAATTTTCTAAAAATATTCATGAGCGAGAAAAAATTTCCTGATATTAATTTGACCTCGCGTGGTATTCGGTAAGAAAATTCCACGCCGAATTATGGTTGAAAATTAAATATTTTTAAAATTTATTTTTCGTTTCTCAACAATGCAAATTATTTTCTCCAAGTCACCAGTGAAACATAAAAGGTGTTGTCGCCTTGATTGTTGAGTTGTCATGGTAACTAAGTGAGACCCTAACCTCGAATATAATTTCAGTTTTGAAGTGGTCAAGCGGCCCGACGTAAAAAAATGTTTCGCTGCAATTATTTAGGCCTTCAAATTTCTTATTTCTACTCATTGTAGTTGCATGGGAATACCATTTGAAAATAGAAAATAGTATATTCTTTAATTTTACTTAAGTTTTGAATAACTACAAGTGGTAAAAAATTGTTTTTCTGCGTTTTTATTAACATGCGTTATGAGCGCTTTAAAATGGTATGAAATTCATAACCAGCGTCAGCAAGCATCAATCGTAGGAGGCTGTGATCATTGTATTTTGACAGTTCAAAACATTAAATAACTCGCGTTTTGTTGCGATAAAGAATATTGCACAGCAAGTAAAACCAACAAAATTACCTATTTGTTTAAAAATGAATCGATTTGAAAATCATACGCTATGCAAAATATGCGTGAAATTGTCTGATGTAATGATCAATCATTGCACCATGACTTACTTACTCGGATTAATAGAGGATTGTGTCTCCAACTTGAAAAACGAAAATTTGTTCCGAATTGTCCACGAATATTTGCACTTAAACTACGCAAAATTCAAATTGCTGAATGGGAAAAAGGTGAATAAATTAGTGTCTAAATATTATATATATATTTTATTAGACATAGACACATAATTCAAAGCATCCAAAGTCCTGCATTTTCGCCATTAAGAAGAAAAGAAGTGGCCGAAGAATATAGAAAACACCTTAGCATTGTAACTAAAATGTATCAAAACTAAACCTATTATGTGAACAAATAAAAACCAGTCTGTCAAAAATGGTCTGTTATTGTAAACGTCAAAAAATTTCCAGTATAATTCGCTGTTGGGTACCCCACGAGAAAAAAATTTCCACTAAAATACCTCCGTTGCCATGGTGATCTGTCAAAAACACGTATTTTGATTGGTTCAAAATTACAGGTGTGGAATTTTCATATGAAAAAACTCCGATAACCTTAAATATCCCAGCACTGTAACTGAATTTAACAAACCTGGTTGAAAACCAATTATCATCGAAATATTATTATATTTCGGCCTCTTCTCATCAATATTCTTTGAGTGATCTCTCCTAGAGGCAACTGAACGCATACATATCTAATCAAAACATATTTACCTGGTTTTGTATTCGTCTATCATAGGTACGTTTGAATCTTTCTTTTAGTAGAGAGTTAAAGCAACGCCAGATACGTATGCGTATCTCTCTGACGTAAACGTGGAAATTGACGATACGTTAAGCGAG